ATATATGTTTATAAATATAAATATAAATATATATATATATTTATCTGTTTTTTTAGTATTTTTCTCACACACGCGTTGTTATTTTATTACTTTTTTTATTTATTTATTTTTTTTTACCCCTATATTATTCGCACAAGATTTATATTATAAACTTTGTCTCGTCAACAATTTTAAAAGATGGCTGACGGTTTAAACGTATATCTGGAAAAACAGTAACCAACCCAACTATATTAAATACATTCCAAAGTGTGGTTCTTACGGAAAAATAACAACACAAGAGACAAAAAATCAATCAAATTATAATGTCATTATAACACGTTGACCGCCATCATGATTATTGTTTTCAACAAAAAAATCCCCGTCAGGCCTCACACGCGCTACACAAAAATGGCGGTGTATAACAATATTCTGTTAATAATTACTTATTTGTAGTAAAACATTATTACATTTAGAAAGAAATTCTTATCCTATGAAAAGGATAATCTTTTTTGGATGATCATTGAAGCTTTTTTTTTTTTTTTTGTTTCTTATCTTCTTTATAACAAAAGATATGTACGTGAAACTCTTATTATTAAATTAGAATAGTTTTTACTATATCAAAGATTTTCCAGCTTCTTTTGGGCATTACAATTGTAAATACTTCAATCATTTACAAGATTGCAACAAAAGAAAAACATAAATTAGCTTTGAAATTATTAGAACACTCCCAGATAATATAAATACATGTTCAGATTAATGTGTAGTCATAATATTGCCATCTAAAAAAGAAAAGCTTTTGAACTAAAAAAATTAGAAGGGTTCTTGCAAATGATGTTATTCAAATATAAGACTTCGTAGGATCGATCGAAAGAACGAATAAATTATAAAAAGAACAACATTTGGTTCTGCCCAAATTGAACCAGATCAACCCCAACTTTGTATAAAACTGTTTTAAAAATCATTTCATTGTAAATCATTTTTAATAATAATTCTAAATTTTTATAAAAAAAAAAAAGAAAAAACTTGTATAACAATTCAGTACTCTCATATATTGTGAAATATCTTTCGAAATATTGACTAATTTACAGTCAAATATGGCTGATTGGGCCTGTTCAGAATATTAGCACTGTCGGCCATATTGTATCTGACATGGTGGTCAACGTGTTAAATAAATTAACGTTGCACGATGCACTCTTATTTTATTTTTCTTTTTTCTTTATTTTGTTTATAACTTTAATTTTTCTTTTTCTTTTCTTAAGATGCACGATGCACACGTTTTCTCTCTTTCTCTCTCTCTCTCTTTCTATGTATATTATATGTATTTATGTATGTAAAAATGTATGCATACGATGCACGAGAAAATAACAAAAAGGGCACAGGCGGCACAAAAGAAGAAGACAGAGACGAAGGCACATGCAGCGACGAATATGGTGTATATATTTTCTATTTTATATATATTTACAAAATATATATATATATTTTTTTTTCTCTTTTTCTTTTTATCTCTCTTTCTCTCTCTCTCTCTCTCTCTTTATATATATATATATATATATCTATGCTTATGTGTTGTGTATATGTGTGTTGTGTATCATACAAATGATGTATTATTATAATAGATCATATTTAATTTTTATTATTATTATTATTATTATTATTATTAATATAAATTTCTGATAAATTAATACTTATTTTATTTATATATATATATGTCTATCGATAATAACTTTTATCAAGTTTTTTGTCTGTCTTTCCATATTAAATTCCATTGTTCTTTTTAACCATTTGAGTCCCAGCAAGTAGCACGTTAGCACTGACCCCCTAAGGACCCAAATGGTGGTTAATAAATATGTTTGTTTTTTTTTCGATGAGTTTGAGAAAAAAAAAATTAATAAAATAAATGAAAGAAGAAAAAGAAGAAAGAAAATAATAATAAAAGAAATCAATAAAATATATATATATACCACGATAATGAATTGTAGGTTAGGTTTGATTAACGAATCAATCAATCAATCAATCAATCAATCAATTGATGGGAGAATTAAATGAAGTATAAATTATTATTATTATTATTATTATTATTATTATTATTATTTTGCTTTTCTTTTCGTTCTCGATTATTTTCGATTAAAAAAACGAAGCAATAAAATATGCGTGTTTTTCATGGATAATATTAAATGCTTGTGCGCATAGGCTGCGATAGGCTATAGTGTTTTTACGAATCATACGATATAATATGTGCATTCTAAAGAAACCAAAGAATTTTGTATATATATATTAAAAAAACAAAAAAAAAAAAATAGAAAAGAAATAAATATATGATAGATGAAATATGCACTCGTAGGAGAGAAAGAGAAAAAGAATGTTTGAAGTGAAACAAATGAAGAACAAAATAAGAACAAACAGAATATACATTAGAAAAAAAAAAAAAATAGTAATAATAATTAGGATAATAACAAAAATGATTTTTTACTAGCACGATAGCCATGCACTTGTGCCTAGAGAGAGCTTGACGGATCCATTTTTGTTTTTTGTTTGTAAATATATTTACTATTTCTTTTTTTTTCTTTTTTTTTTTATGCGTGTGTTGTGCAAAACACATTTTTGTTGCGCACGTAGAAATAAACAAAAAATAAGAATAATAAAAAATAAAGATAATAAAACAGAAACTAAAAAAAAAAAAAATAAGAGAGAGACAACACAACAGACAAATAATAAATGACAAAAGCAGAGAAACCAGATAAACGTACAAAGAAACTAAATTAGAGCTAATTGGCGTGTATTGGGTAGCTAGCTAAACGGTTGTTTCTAATACCTCTCGACTGATGATTGGTTGAGCAGAAGAGATGCAGGGCACGTGTGTAACAACAGTTGCCGGTACGATACCACCACTGCTAGTACTATTATTTTCCCCTGACATCGTATTCGTTGTAAGAGAAATATCTGATACTGGAGTCGAAGACCATGCGTTCGACGTACCAGTTGAACTCATCATCAACGGTGAATTGTTGTTTGGTAGAACGCTGTCTGCCGAACTGGAAGCTCTTCGTCTCATTGATTCTTCACTGGACGATTTCAATAATTCTTTCTCTCGTTCTTCATCTCTGTATGTTTTTTTTTTTATTATTATTATATTTATTTATTGATTTATTTAATATATTATATGGAGATTGAAATATATGATAGAGAAACTTCTTACTTTATTTTCAACATGATATATTTGTCCGGTATTAATCCTTCCCTGCCGGCTAATGAACCTCGCCACCAGTCATTGCTGACTTGTGTAAATAATGTTAAAGTATCGCCCTTTTTAAAGCTGAGTTCTCTCTCAGATCTTGCATTGAAGTCAAATTGTGCAGTAGCTTCCAAATTTTCTGATTCTGTGTTTAGAGAAACAGTTTTTGTTTTTTTTTTTTTTTTCATACAAATTTGTTTGATATATTTAACATGTTCACGCCGGCGTTGTAATTCATGTTTCTCATCACTAGATGGCTATGCTTCAAACTTTTCACTCTATTGTGGACGCAGGCCGATTAATTAATATTAAATTAAAGTTATGTTTAAAATATGATATTAAATATATTACAATTGTTATTAAAAAATATGTGTTTTTCATTATTTTCATTTTCAATTATATAGGCAACTTTTTACAATCATATGTGAGCCCCACCGGTGGTACACGTCGGCGTGAACGTGTTAAATTAATTCATTCATTCATATACTGACCATCTTCCGATGGATATACTTCGGAATCCATATCTTCTTGAACTTGATCCGTCGGTGAATCACCAACATCTCTAAAAAATTTGTATTATCAAATTAATATTATGATATAATATATATTTATGGATTTGTATAACGGCATACTACTAACACGTCGTCCGGTTCTCTGCTGATATATTTTTCGTATTGGGTACCACCAATGTCTTCTGGAAATATTTCCTCGCAGAATGTAATAATATTTTTGATCAGTTCGTTAACCTGATTTTGATATTGAACTTGATCCTTGTCCTCGGGGACCGGTACCAATGTTGGACCAAAACAGATAGCTAAGTTATAAGGATCCATCATATTTTCATCCGAGAATTCTGAAAGACTGATTTAACACGCAAAATATAAGATTTACACAAAATAGAATATAGAAATGTAGGATAAATTATTTGAATTGGAGAATGTTGTTTATACTTACTGATTGAGGAATGCAAAAAGATAACGCATTACTATAACCACAGGTCTTGGTAAACTGGCTATTAATTCCTTCATCTTGTTAACAAATTCTTGTTTGGATTCCAATTGTGCCAATTCCATGAGATGTTCGAAATATATTATAGGAAACAAGGGTTCTCTTAATTCTCTTAAATAAAGTTTCAATACACCAGCAACGCTATTAATATCTGAAGCATCTGTTACATCGGCCAAAGGATCTTCCCCTCTTTCAAACCATTCCCTGAAGTTATTTATTTCCACCTGAGAACCGGATACACGAAATATTCCTTGATGATGTAAACCGTAAAGGTTGATAACCCTTATACAACTCTTCATGATCAATGGTATTTCTTGATTCGTGCTTTCCAAATATTCCTCCAATGAACCACCGAATAATTTAGGTTGGCCGTTCATCTGTAAACGTCCAATACGTTTTCTACGTGCTTGTTTTTGTTTGGTAGTAGATATGGATGGATTAGGACTGGCCGTAGAACCGTCCAATAGACTGTGACGTATATATTCCTGTTTTGAATCCAATCTGGCTATTCTCGATGTTCCGAGAAGGTACTCTCTGAATTTCTGTAAGTATATACACATACACAAATCATAAATGATTTCCACAGAGAAAGAGAGAGAGAGAGAGAGAGACAGACTTTGTCTATTTTATGTCTATAAAAGAAAAAAAAAGAAAAGAAAAACAAACAAACAAATAATAATAATAATAATTATTATTATAGCAACAGATATATGAACAAACTTACGGTAAGATAAAATTCTTCAGTCTCTTGTCTATCTGCTCTCAATTTAATTTGTAAAGTTTCCGGTGGTCTAGACGTAGGTACTGCATTTTCACCGAAATATCTTGAACAGTCGTAATCTTTGGCGGTTAACATTTCAAGGAGACTCGCCTCAGCCGTTTCTAAAGTCTTCCATACTTCCTCAGACTCTGTTCTAAGAGAGGTAACCCTTTGTTGCAATTGAGTTAATCGCTGTTCCATTTCCAAGTGTAGCACCTTTTGTAATTCTGGTTCTGGAGTCTGCGCGTGCGACGAGCGTTGTTAAATGTAATTATAAAAAGAAAAGAAAAAAAGAGAAAAATGTGAATTCACAACTGGAATTATATCTTTTATAAAAGGTTTGTATAAAAAAAAAGGAAATAAAATGAAGGGAAAGGGGAATAGATAGAGTTTTATATACCTCGTCTCCACGTTGGCCTTGAAATTCAAACTTTTTAGGAATCATAAAAGCAGTATTGTGAGATTCCAAGAACCTTTGCTTGTCTGCTCTCGAATCCAATGCGCCCACGCATGCAGCCAATTGTTCTGCACCGGTTTGTAACGAACGTTGCCTACCCTCTTCCGCACTGCAATGCATTAACAATGCACGAGCGATGCAATTGTGGAAGCCAAAGTCCATACACTGTGTGGACAAAAGATTTCGCAACTTCATTATTAAGAATTTCAATCATTCATCATCAATATACTATTACTAACATAACACACATACATACACACATACATACATATATACAAAAATCATTCATCATTATGTAAAAACACTCACATCTATGAGATCCGACAGATCATCAACGAAATATTTGGTAATCGTTGTATTTGAAGCTTCCAAGCATAATATATATTCGTTTCTTGCCTTCAAAGCTTTCAATTTGGCTTCTTGATACTTGATCTTTCTCTGAAACGTTTTTAATCAATGATTTATAAATACTAACTAGAATCCAAATAAACGTGCTTGTAATAAATATATCCATGAAATGTGATAACAATTTTTATGGCCTCTGAAATATTATTTACATTCTTTTTTTTTTTTTGATTAGACTATATATATATATATATATCGTTTCTACTACGATAGAATTACATATGGTATAAACATAGATGAATAGAAAAGGTGGGGAAAAGAGAAGGTGGGAAGAGAACCCCCCCAACACACATGGCTCTGGTAAATCCTTGTTTTTCTTTTCTCTTTTTCTTCCTTTCACTATTCCTGCGCTCTTTCCAAACCGTTAGAAACCATCTGTCTTATCGTCATGGTCACATTAAGAAAGAAGAAAGAGGGGAGGAATCCTCCTCTTTCTCTCTCTCTCTCATTTATTTTTCTAACTGGCAGCTTGCAGCATGCGTTTGCTACAAGAAGAGAGACGGGTAGACACAAGTCGTTCGTTTTAAATCTTCGAACATCTGCTAACACAGATCAACAGAAAGAGAATGAAAGATGATAGAAAAAGAGACAGACAGAGAGAGAGAGAGAGAGAGAGATCAAATGAAAAACGTGGCTGTTCTTCTTCCAGCTTTTACATTTTCAATTCTTCTTTTCACAATTCAATATGTCTGCCATAACAAATTCATGATTTATAATTCAGTAAAGAGAAAGAACATTTGGAATCGTTTTTTTTTTCTTTTTTATCTTTTTTTATTATATGATTTATAATTAACCCTTTGCACTCGAGCTTCGTCGAATTAGCAGATTACCCGGCAGATTTAAATGACAACTCGAGCGGCGCTCTGATACGGCGCCACAACTGATTTGAAGTCTTTTGTTACACCATCGATGTGTGATAAGGTATTTCTTTTAAGATATACTTAAAGATAATACTTAAAGGGACTGTAAGGTTTATTCTGATCGTAATACACCTGGAGGTAGGCCGAAAGTAACATATTATTGTGATACGTGTCCTGATAAACACCTAGGATTCATCTTTTGGGTATTGTTTTACGAAATATCATAGAAAAATTAATTACAGAGTATAATATTTCTCAAATTGTCTTGTTTTTTGATATAAAAATAAATAAATTGGTGTAATTTGATTATTTGTATACGTTTGTTTGTTTATAAATGACTTTAAAGTACATGTAAAATGTTTCCCTGATTTGTTGTTGGTTATGCGCAAGCAACAAAAAAGGCCTCAAGTGCAAACGGGTTAATAGTAAAAGAAAGAGATTTTTAATTGAAAGCTAAAAAATATATATTCTTCGACGAATATCTTTCATCATGAAAAGATTAAAGGTTGACAACGAATGACGATGAAGAATGATTAATTGATAGAATATTTTCATCGATAACGAGAGACTTCTAAAGGGTTAGGAGAGAGGTTTTTGGAGTACACTCGAATCGTTCTTCAAAACTCATTGAAAATATAGACCAAGTAGAGGAGAAGGAGGGAATGAAAGTCTGGATGAGAACTTGTTGTAGTTACCTTGTTCACCTCTTTCTCGATGAGCTTATACTTTTTGCTCCTAGCTAATTTTTCCGGTGGGGCATTGGCAACTTCCAACTTACTACGCTGTTGTTCGGCTACGCGTAACTTTGTTTCCGCTTGTCTTGACTCGGCTTGGTAAGCTTGATAAGTTTTCATCGTTGTATGCAATTCGTGAAGAACTCGTAGTATTTCTTCGTGTGTTTCATAACCAATCTCACGACACTTCAATATTTATATACGATTAGAGAGAAAATATTCAATAATTGATTAAATAAATGAATAAACATAAATATGCTTACTCTTTTGTATATCCTTTGAACATCTTCCATAACTTGATTGAGCCTACCGACAAGATGTGTGCTATATACTTCGGAAAGGGCAGCATGATCTCTACTTAAAGATTTGGTCTCATTTACAAGCTGTTGCCAGCAAGCGTAGCTGGAGAAAAGGGGCCACTGTTCACGTCTGAAAAAAAGAACACAAAATATTAATAATAAAAACCACATAAAAAGAATTAGTACAAAGACGACTCTAAGTACTGTTAAATCGATATAAGAAATATATTATAAGTAAACGAGAATATCAAAATTGTATCATTTTCTTCCTTTTATATCAAACAAATATATTGTAATTCGCTTATTCCTTACTTTTGTTTTTGCTCCTTATGCCTCAATTGTATACTCCTAGCCATTTTGTCAAGTGATTTGCTGTAATCTAATTCTAATTCTGCCCTTCTGCGAAAGAAATCTTGCAATTCGGCAACAAGGGCAACTTGTGCCTCCATCCTTACGTCGAGACATCTCAATTGTTCGTTTAATTGCAATCGTATATCTGTAAGAAGAAAAATCAAAATTAAATGTAACAGTGTTTTAATGAACTGATAAGTTAATTCTTGAAGTTTACCACAAAATGTGTGTGGTACGACATGGGGCATGGACGTTCAATGTGACGTTCATATTTCAATTAAAGAATAATCATTTTGTTATTACAATCTTTTATAAATATTCTTTCTCTATTATCTAGTAAAATTGTTACAAGAAAATATCTCTAGACATTTTTCTATTGAAAATACATTTCAATGTATTATTCGTGGGTGGAAAAGTAATGGAAGGGGGGAAATTATTCAGAGAGAAAAAACTGGAAGGTATTATTAAGAGTTCTTCTTTCAAAATCTAGATAGTTTAGAAAATTCAAAGAAAGAAAGAGAAAGAGAGAGAGAGAGAGAGAGAAAAACATTGTTCAAGTTTTATCGGTGAAACGTCGCCTGGTACAATGATGTTGCTTTTTGTTGATGTGAAAAAGAGAAAAAGGGACGAAGACTGACGAGGATGGATGAATGAATGAATGAATGAACGAACGAACGAATGAACAGGAAAGAGAGAAAAGATAGAGTATAATAATGGCCATGAAACCGAGTAGTAGCAGGAACAAACGTTTATTCCAAGATGGCTACAAACACTCTCTCTTTTCACCCCGAGGATTCATTCTAACATCCACCCTTAGTTTTGTCATCCTTTTATATTCCAATCCTAGATATATATATATATATTTATAACGATATATTTGATATATTATTTTTAATATATTTGATATATTATTTAACAAATAAACCACCTAAAACTCTCGATACTTTTATGTTCTTACAATTTTTGTTAAAACAACAACAAAAATTTTCGTTATAGATCCATTTTTATAATAATTAAAAAAAAAAAGATAACAAAATAATCATATAAATAAATAAATGATTTATTTGTTATATTATATTATATTATATTAATTGTATTAATAATATAAAATTAAATATATGATGATCATTCGAATCAGCAAAATAAATGGATGACTAACCAACCCGATAGGGGTACCATATCACCGGCATTATATACACATATACATACACACTCACACATACATATATGGTACAATTCATTTACCCTTATTTCGTGTATCTCCCCGTCACCTATCCGGTACTTTATACGTATATATATATATACATGTATATATAAGTATAAAGTATTATATACCGTCGTGTTTTTGGCCGCGTGAGGGAGGGACAAAGGTCAAAGATCTCGCCATAGTCTGTTGGTGTGCCCCTTAGAATGAATCACGCCCGGAAATATAATCCGATCGATGAGGAAGAAGAAGAAGAAGAAGAAAGAAAGAAGAAGAAAAAAAAATACCACCCCCTTTAGTTTTTTCTTTTCCTTTTTTTTTTTCTTTACTTATCTTCTTCAATTACTTTTTAAGGGTGAAACGAAACCCTGACTGACGCAACCTTGACAACCAACTATAGATTATGTTTTAAAGATTTCCATATACTTCATAGACATACATACATACATACACACATATATACATACATTCACACAGAGACTTTTATCTTGTAGTCCAATAATACAAGAAAAAAGATAAAAAATAATAGAAATCTTTTTAACACTAGATATACCAGACCAGTTTTTTTGACTGGTTTTGACGCCATTTTAATTCAAAATTTCTACTTCACACATGTAACATTTGAATACTGTAAATAATTAAACGTTTTGTTAGTTAAAAATATCTATTAAAATTATTATTGTTAAGAATTATTTGTTATTTTTTTTAAGAGTAAATAAAGACTGGAAGCCTCAAATAGCATTTTTTTTTTTATACACCAGTCATTTTGACTAGTGTGGTAGAAAAAGGTAAACTAAAAATGGCGGTATATCTAGTGTTAATACTATAATTCATTCATACAATTAACAATCATAATGTTATATAAATTATTTAATTAACCCATTCGCGAGAACCATTTGCACACCGTTTGTGCAATAATACTGAACTATTATCAGTTATTTTGACTAAAGTAGTCATCGAGATAAAACGTTTTTTTTTTGTATAAAACAACAGTTAAAGCATTGTAAAATTAACACTATAATAATAATAATAATAATAATAATAAAAAAAGAATTGTGCCTGGGGAATAATCGTGTTCGAAAAAAGTCGTGGTCTCGAATAAGGTTAATTAAACATAACCTCAAAAAAAAAAACAATATAATTAATAATACACAGATTTACACGTGTCTCGTTATAATCGAGTATAAATTAACCCCTTGCAAAACAAAACTTTGAGTGCAAAGGGTTATAACAACAATAATACCACCACCATCATAATCAACCACAATAACAACAACAACAACAAAATAATAAGAGTGCAATATTATTATCATCAATGAATCCTCGAAGTCTTATAATAGGAAATGATTATTCATGGCTGAGGAAGTCTCTCTCTCTTTCTCTCTATTTGCCATATACATAAAAAAGAAAGAGAAAGAGAGAAAGAAGAGAAGAAGGAGGAAGAGGTGATGGAGGGTGGAGGTGGGGTGGGGGAAAGTTTCCAGTTTCACGGAGCACGGCATCCGATGATGCACGTTGATCCGAAAGGAGGCCGAGAGACCCCGACCAGGGGGCGGGGCGGGGAAGGGGGAGGGGGGCGTTGTAGGGTAACTTTGAACGATTTTCTCGTGTCAACGAACGTTGTATGTTAAATCTTCCATCCTAGCAAAGAGAAAAGAATAATTAGAGTGAACGAGAAGAAAGAAAAAAGAAAAAAAAAAAAAAGAAGAAAATAACACAAGGGGTGGTGTGTGCTTGCTTGGTGGTTGTTCTCGTTCATGGTGATGCGTAATGTCGTTGCTGTTACAAATACCCCCCACCCCACCCCACAATTGTGTTTTCAACTTCATTCTCCCCTTTCTTCCCTTATACCACTAACCACCCCCTTCATCCCTCTGTCCCACACACTCACTCGATTAACCCGATCTTCCATTTTCTTTTTTGTTCTCACTTCAATGATTTTCCTTCTTCTTCTTCTTCACCACCACCGTCTTCAACGTCCCTTCAAGGGATGTTTCAATTTTTAATTATTAATAACCCAGATATAATATCGTTCCTCTTTTCTTTCATTTTTTTCTTTTTTTTATAAACCGCCCTTTTAGTTAATAATTGATTTCTAGTTACTTTTCTTGTAAAATTCCCCACCCATTCGTACAGGTCTTTCAATAAAGATTTTAATTGTGGGTTTTTTTATGATATGATCTTAATGATAAGATTAATCGTTTGTTTAAACAAACAATAATATTGTTTAATGTTCTTCCCTTTTTTTTTTTTTAAAGGAGGATGCGAGTTATTATAGGGGTTGTTAATGGTGGTTATACTTTTGCATAGGTAAACAAATTTTTCTTTTTAATGTATGTTTTTGAATAAAAATTATATTTACATTAGATAAGAAAGATTAATTTTCTAATGAATGATAAATGTAAGATGAAAAACGGTGTAATAATAAATGATTTACCTTTTGTCCAGACCTCCCATTCCTGTCGTCCACTTAGTTTGAACATTTTTTTTCTTAAGTTTTTCGTTTAATCGACCATTAAATCAAATCAACCAATCATTGACAGGCACAACAACACCACCCACCATTCCCCCACTAAATTTAAATTTTCTAATTAATTTTTCTTTTGTATTATATATATATATTTTTTTTTTGCAAATTAAGTTATTTATAATATTTTCTAGGATAACATTCACCAAATTTGAAGGAACATTTTTTTCTATATCGCGCGTATATATGCGTGTGTGTGTGTGTATAAAATGTTTGTTTGTTTGTCAAAAATATCAATGCACTTCCCCTCCCCACCACACCACACCCCACTCCACTCCTTTATCACGTATCGTCGATGCAAAAAGTAACACAAAAAATAATAATAATAATTTTTATTAACTTTTTAAGGAAAAAAAAACAAAAACAAAGGAATTTTATTTAATCGAACAACTGTAAAATAAACATATTATCCCTAATGTATACCGTAATGAATACATAAAGAAATAAATATATAAATAAATAAAAAAGTAAATATTCACACACACACACACATATATATTTATATAAATGCTTTCTTTCAATTATTTCTTGTTCTGTTTTTGTTTTTTGTTCTTGTTCTTTTGTATAAAAGAAACTTTGATCTTTGAAACACGTCACTGTAAAACTATCGTAGTAGTTATCGTCTTTATTAAAGTTTTAAGTTTGATCTTATTTTTACGGGACACTCGGTATTATGTAAACGTTTTAACGATTAAAACTGTACTACAAGTATAAACGACACACCGACTGCAGATATAAACCATCATACAGTAGCTTCAAACCGGAAAAGGAAGTCATACTTGTGTTATGTATATATTTACAATGTATGTATACATATATATATGTAAAGTATCAAACAATGTCAATAATTTGTTCCATCAAAATACAAGATACAAATTTAACAAACATTCTTGTTTCGTTTGTACATTTTTTTTGGTTATTTTTTGCCTAATTAATTTAACGTTTAGGTTATATATATATACTATAATTAACCTAATTAAAATATAAATCACTATTTATTTGCGAGCATGTAAATTATACCGCGCTAAGAGACGATGACTCACATTTCTCATACGTGTATATATATGTGTGTGTGTGCGACACATTATATACATATATAATAATATATGAATGTGTGCAAGGAAAACTGTGATAAGTTGTCAACACTGAAGTAAACGAACGAACGAACGAACCGAACGATATTATTAAATCGATAATAATCGATTTTCAAAGATTACAATTGATTGAAATAATAATCGAAAGAAAGAAATAAAAATATGAAGAAGTAAATAATAATAATTATTAACAACAAAAAAAAACAAGAAATAACGTTATATCGCTAAATAAATGATTTGCATGCTTTAATATAGGACAATGTTTAGAACAATGATTAGATTAGAATGGTTTTTAGAACAACACTTGTTAAGAGAAAGGA